CTTATTTATCCACTCCTGTTGTTCTATTTCTGGCATCTAAAAAGAAGGCTAAAGCCCAGTGGTCAGACAAAAAAATTAAATGGATGACTAAATATATGAAGTTCTTTAGAAACATTTTGTGAAACTTTTAAAAATGCATGTAAGGATAGATAGATATTTTAGCCTACGAAAGGAATCCAGAAGAGACTGAATGTTCATAAACCTTCCATAAGCATTAGGTGATCATTCTGAGCCTTATGAGGAAATGCATGTACAACTCTCTGATTTATACAATTATATAATCTAAAGTTTTAAATCAGCATTATTCAGTGGTTCCTATCATTTCTGGTGAGGACAGAGTAATCAGGCTCTGTAGCTACAAGATCTTTCCCAGAAAGCTCATTTCTCTCTGACAATCCTCCCTCGCAATTTTAAAACACCAGTCCCAGAATGCATCTCAATTCATTCTATGAGTTTTGAAGGCCTTTGCTCTAAGAAATTATCACAGTCAAGCCGCAGGCTTCCTTTCTGCATAAAAAATAAGACAAATAATAAAATCAACAGAAACAATAATTAAAACAAGAACATTTCTTGATGAGACTGTAAAAATAAACAGCTCAACGTAACTTATATTGAATGCTTGAGTATAAGCCAACAAGAGGAGGACTCAGGAATGTCAAGACCAGGTTGGAGAGATGACTAGTGGCTAAGAGCACATGCTGCTTTTGCCAAGGACCCCAGTTATATTCATAGCAGTGGTGTCAGGTGGATCACATCCACCTGTAACTTCAATTCCATGGGATCCCACACCCTTGTCTGGCCTCCATAGACACTGCAAACAAGTTGTCAAATTTCACTCACACATAACCATAGACACATAATTTAAAAAATTAATGTCAAGATAATTTCTACAACAAAGAGATTTCTCAGAAGCCTCAAGAAAATGACACAACATCTCTGTTTAATGTAACATTTTCAGCTGAACATATCTGAGCCCTGTTAGACAGTGGGCATCTCTATAATTCTCTCAAGTCTATCTTGAGACCACACCACACTCATCTTGACAATACCTATTTCAGAGTCTATACCTGGTCTCTTTTCTAGACTCTGGGTTTTGACCTTTGAATTCCTGAAACCTGTAGGATTATAGATTTCTCAATTTAGTAGATAGCTGTTTTTTTAGATAACAAGGATGTGTTGACAATAATGTCACTACTCCACATCTTCTTTTGACATCTGAAATGAGCTTCAGAGAAAATGCCTGTCACCCAAAATGAGCAACGATTGAAAGCTTCTTTTGCTGCAACAATTTATGCAAAGTCCAGATTTTGACAACTATTTCTTAGATACCTAAACTAATTAACAAACTTAAATATGATTTAAACCGTCGTTGGAAAGAGGGCAGACTCTGAAGGAATGCTGCGACTCTTTTGACAAAGGATTGTTTTTTTAACACAATATATTGGAGTTTTGTGAGTGATTTTTAAACACATCAGGTTACTTTTTTTACTAAAAACATATGTAACTGGCTTTACTACCTCCTTAAAGAGATCAACAATAAAAAGAAGGATCAAGAACGTATAATCTAACATGGTTTGATTTAATAATTTGATCTTGAAATGCAAGTACCATACTGGAGGAAGGGTACTTAGAATGCTAGGCATGAGGTACTTTAAGTGATAGTTATGCATCCTGACTCTCTCCTTAGACAAATAAATATAATACTTAGTGTAATGTAAAGAAGCCACTGAAATTCTGGTGTACTCAAATACTAGAGAGATCTAAGGATAGGAATCTTCTGCCAGACCTCACAATGCCACTAGGCATTGCCTTGCAAAGACTGCCATGTGTTTCTGCCTGCAGTCTCTAATCTTCACTGCCAACTGAAGAGCAAGGCTAATGAGGATGAAAGAATGCCCAGAATAATGTGATGCTATTATTCTGTGTCATTCATAGAGTCAATCCAAAGTTTTCCCATAGGAACTATAGGAAAACACTTTAGATGAATTCCTTCACAAGGTCACCTAAATCAACATTTAGTGAGAAGTATTAAACATTAACCTTTCACATAGACAAGATTGAAATCCAAGAAAGCACTAGTCAATACTCTGCCTTAGATAACCAGGACAGATTGAGCATGCCTCAAAGTAGGCTGTCAACACATTGAGGAAGTAGGAGTAAATTGCACTCACTGATATGACTACTGCCTGTATCTCACAGTATTGAATGTAATACATTTATTTCTAGTCAGAGATATATATTAACAATCAGCATGATAAAAGTGACATATTTTCTAACAACATGCTAAATGTTATGTTGTATTAATGACCACCATGATCCTTGAAGAATGATTGAACTACTAATTGAAAAAGGAAGCCATGAAAGATGATGTGAATAAATTTATAAAAATATTCACATTCTAAGCAAAGGTAACTAAGCCTGTGCAAACAAATGCTTATGATCTCCTGGTCCACAATGCATAGATAAGATTCTCATGCAGATTTGATGCTAAATGATTCCCATGAAAATAAAAGCTGTCATGTTTTCAAAATTTCTATTTAAGCCCCCCTTTTTTTCCATTTAATTTTAAGAATACTAATTTATCTATCTTACTTTACTGGAATTATGGATTCAGTTATTCATAAACAAACATAAACCTAACATAAACATATATAGTACATTTACATAATTCTTTAACAACTAGTTATATTCTGATATCCCTTAATTAAAACTCAATTTGTGAGCACTTATCTGAGTGATAGAAAGAACCTCAATATTTGCAGAGTCCTAGATGAAAATTTAAATATTTGAATGTGAAATTTACAAAATGAAGTATCAAAGTTTAAGAGTTTGACATTATACTCTATGAACCATGAAGAAATTAAGTCAACATTAACTGAAAATTATGGAGAATTAAATTTCAAATATTTATCATATACAAATTATAAATAGTATAAACATAAAAAAGTGGACATAAAGTTAGAAATGAGAAGGATGTTAATCATTTATAATTAAAAATGACAAAAACTCACCTAGAAATTGAATTATTATTTGAGACAAAAGTTAAAGCAATCTTCACACAGAGACTAGATTTTAAAAATACTTCTAACACTATGAAAAGAATAGAAGTTAAATATGATTATGAAGAAATTGCATAGTTTTGAAAAAATAGAGATGTTAGATAAAATGATAAAGCATAAATCCAAATGAACCAAACCACACTGAAATGTGCATAAGTTTAAAGGAGATAGTGTCAGGTTTGGGGTGGTTCGGTGTTGGAGCACTGCCTTAGCATTTGTGAGAGCTGGGCTTGCTCCAAACTAGTACCACACCTTCACACACATGTTAAAAGCATATCATGTTATTTCTTTTCTTTTCTAAAACATAATGACTGAATTAATCTCTCCTTTTCACTTCAATTATTTTAAAAATGAAATCTCCTTGCTGAGATAAATGATACATAAATAATATATTGTCATAAAGAGAGGGACTCTAGACAGGTTGACTAGATCTCAGTAGTTGAACTTGCACTGAGGAACATTTGGAGACACTAATTTTACTCAACAG